TGCACGCCCCCTACTGGGGATCGAGCCCGCCACCCGGGCCTGTGCCCTCGACCAGGAATCGAACCCGGGCCCTTTCAGTCCACAGGCCGATGCTCTATCCACGGAGCCAAACCTGCTAAGGGCTAACTTCTCCTGCAGACTGAACAGAGCCGCCTGAGACTTCTAGGGACTGTTACCGTCATTCTCATGGAACATCACGCCTACATAGGGAGAAAAGCAGGAAGCCTGGACCGCACTGCGGGCTCGTCCTTCCTCCCGGCCGTCCACACGCAGAGAAACGCCTTCCCGGCCGAGCGCCGCTGCCCTGGCGGCAGCTTCTGAGCCGCTGAGCGTGGCTCTGTGGAGACCACGTCCGTTCTTGCCACGTGTGCTCTAACCACCCCCCGCCCCCCGAAAGAAATGCAGTAAAATAAGAACAGAAGCGACCACTATCCTTAATGTGAGGTCCCAGGAGACTTAAAAGATGTCCAGTAAAAACGAGGCCCTACCATTGTGCGTGGGGGACCCTGCTCTCTAAGTGTGTGTCGTCCCCTCGTCCCCATAAAGCTCCTGGCGTCTCGCACGTCCATGGAGCTCCCAGTGTGTGAGCGGCGGGGCTCTGCTCCCACGTTGGTGAATTGCTCAGCACTCGATCCCGAGTTAGTTCTGTCCCGCAGGCCGCGGACCGGTGCTCACTTGCCAAACACATTCAGGCCCAGGAAACAGCTGGGGGCAATCGGGGGGGGGGGGGGGTTCCCAATAGGTGCCTGGCTTCTCCCGTCACACACCTCCTCCCCCACCAGGGGCTGCTGCATCCTCCCAACCCTCATATCCCCACTCAAGTTAGGGAGGAGGGGGCAAGAGAGGAGGGAGTTACCCTTAAAGCCCACGGCGACAGATAACTCTCCAATCAGACGGTTCCCTTCCCCATGGGAGGAAGCAGCATGTGGTCGTCCAACCCAAGCTTTTTTTTTTTTTTTTTGTTAACTGAAATTACAGTTTTCTCTGGGGCTGTATTTTAAAGGTCCAGTAATTCAACTTTGGACGCCCCAGGCCAACGCTAGGAATACCATAAAAGGTGTTTGATTTCATGATCACGGAGGGCGATCATTAACAGATGATCTAAACCCATGTTTGTGCTTGTTTTTTTTTTTTTATTTATTGAAAAGTAAACAAATGCGGGAGCGAAAAATAAATACATAAAAACGAATAGAAAAGGTACGTGCAGAACGCAACGATCGCGGCTGACTTCTGAACGGCCGCGGAAATTACAGGCATCATAATGGTTCCGGAAAGAACAAACACCTCCTAATTGCATTTCATTACAACGCACCTTTCTCTGCTCGGTTGTATATATTAATTATGAAACTCGCGTTGCCGAGCCGAGCGGCTCTACAATGCCTAGCCCCCCTCGCACCCCCCCACCCGCCGCTCCCCGAATTCTGTCTGAAGCAGAAAGGAAGAACAATATCGTCTGTCATCCGCAGAGAGAGCTTTCAAAGACAAAATCATAAAAAGAGTGAAAGGCTATTATATAAAAAGAAAAAAAATGCTTTGCTTCCCCAGATTCCCCACTTATTCGTGTTTAAGGTTATCTGTCCTCTCCGAAACATATCTTCTCGCAGTGTTCTGCGTGTGGACGTGCGGGTAACATCACGTCCTGATAACTGTATCGCATGGCATGGCATTGCATAGATAGCTATGAACGGAGGGGGAAGGGGAGGGGGCGGAAGCAAGCACGGGTAGGGGAAGATGCCAAGCAGGACTTGGAGAATTGTCTAAGAGGAGGCCAAATAGGAACATGATGGGTTGGATGGGAGGCCAATGCTTTGGTCAAGGCAGCCAGTCATGCCCTGGCCAGTGGGCTCCGTGGTTAGAGCGTTGGCCACACACCGAAGGGTTGTGTGGGGTTTGATGCCCGCTCAAGGGCATGTGCCGGTGTGGCAGGTTCAATGCCCACCCCGATCAGTGTGGGAGGCAACCAATTTGTGTGTCTCTCTCACATCGATGTTCCTCTCTCTCCCTCCTAGCCTCCCTTTCACTCTCTCTAAAAAAATCAGAGGAGTCTGGCCGGCGTGGCTCCGTGGTTGAGCGTCGACCTATGAACCAGGAGGTCACTGTTCGATTCTTGGTCAGGGCACAAGCCCGGGTTGTGGGCTTGACCACCAGTGTGGGGCGTGCAGGAGGTGGCCGGTCCATGATTCTCTCTCATCGTTGATGTTTCCATCTCTCCCCTCTCTCTTCCTCACCAAGGAGCAAAGATGACTTGAGGGTCACATGATCTCGGTGCCCAACGATGTTTGGCGTAAGTAACAAGAACCACAAAACCCCACAAACAAACAAAAAACATTTCAAATAGGTTCTTCAGCAAACTAAAGAGTCCTTTGCCAACTCCTAACAATTAGGTGATCTGGCTGGTGAGCACTGACCCAGGAACCAGGAGGTCACCGGTTCGGTTCCCAGTCAGGCACATGCTCGGGTTGCAGCTGGATCCCCAGAAGAGGGCGTGCAGGAGGCAGCCCATCAATGATGTTCCTGCCTCATTCTCCCTTCCTCTCTCTCTAAAAATCAATAAAAAAAATTTTTTTTTTAATTAGGCGGGAGGAACACGTCAGTCTTCAGGGAAAATAAATGGCTGTGTTAGGAAACCGAGGGGCATGATTGTGAAGGCTGGCGATCCCTGTGTTCGCTGCCATATCTGAAAAGTAGACCCAGCCTCAATCTCCAAGGAAATGGGGGATCATTTGGGAAATTGATCTCCACGTCCACGCGATAGAATCCCTTTTAACATTAAAAAAAAGCTAAAATGCCATACATTTATGGGAGATCTGAAAGAAGTTGACGTATATATAACGCTCACGTGAACATCCAGTTCCTTCGTCCAATCACATGATAACCGTACGTTACCGTGGCTGCCCATTTGCTCTGTGTATGTGAGTCCAAAAGCCTTACTGCTTCTGAATCATTCCCCCCGCTTAAAAAGCTGATATCTATAACAATAAGTAAGTACGTTAGGGCTAGATTAATGACGAAGAGTTTTCCTATTTCGGAAAAGAAATACTTTTAAGAGAGGTCCCAGCAGAGGGGGAAGTGAAGGAAAACATACGGGAAAGATTCAATATGGCCGGCGGGTGCGCTGCCATCGCCTCGTGCCTAACGCTTGAAGCAGAATGGCAAGCACGTGGCGTTCTGCAGTGGAGCCGTAGAGAAAAGAAGCAGGTAGTGTGTGTGGGGGGGGGGGGGGGGGGAGTGTGTATGGGCGGGGGACAAGGAAGAGATTTTCCTTTGAAAGTAAGATTCACTGGGTGCGTTTTCATCTGTCCTCAAGCTCGAGTCCTTCTAGCACAGCGGTCGGCAAACTGCAGCCCCTTGAGTGTGGCTCTTCCACAAAATACCACATGCGGGCGCGCACGTACAGTGCGATTGAAACTTCATGGCCGCACTCAAGGGGCCAAAGAGCCGCATGTGGCTCGCGAACCGCAGTTTGCCGACCACTGGCCTAGCACAACCAGGTCCTGGCCTAAGGCCGCTCCTCCACAGAGCACACCTCCCTGTGCAGGGGGGGTTCACAGAGTGGGCTCAGGGAGGCCCCGATCCTTGCTTCACCTCCTGAAGCAAGGCCTGTGCCTGATTCATAGGTGACCTGGTTTCTTTCCTTCCAGGATCTAGAATCCAAAGACAAAATCCAACACGGTGCAGGGAGTGATTCAACAAGAAACAGACGGAAATCTGTTCCCCTCAGTCAGACTTCAGGAAGGAGGGTCCGTGGGCAGCCTCCCTGCCTCCCGGGCATCCCTCCCTCCTCGCTCAGGGTCTCACCAAGGACTGTCTGCAGCCTGATTTGTTTCCCATCCACATCACAATGGCTCTCTCTATATTTATTGATTTCAGAGAGGAGGGGAGAGGGAGAGGGAGAGGAGAGGGAGAGGGAGAGGGAGAAAGAGAAACATCAATGATGAGTGAGAAGCATGGATCACTGCCTCCTGCATGCCCCCTGCTGGGGATGGAGCCCGCAACCCGGGCCTGTGCCCTGACCGGGAATCGAACCGTGACCTCCTGGTCCATAGGTCGACGCTCAACCACTGAGCCACGCTGGCCGGGCCGGGAGCTGATTTTTCAGGCGGACGGGAGGGGGAGCAGTGACCTGCTGGCTCCTGAAAGCCACCCGGGCGATTCCTGCCCAAGGGCATCGGGTCACCTGCCCGCGTCCCTGCCAGCAGCCCTTGGTGAGGAAAGACGGACGCACTGCTGGTGGCAGCCCCGGTTCTCCCGGACTCAGGTTTCCGTCCGCACATGGATGTCTGTTCTCATGTTCATTTCCTTCTCCTCGGACGGAACGCAACCCCCGTACCAGGCTCAGGTCTCCTCAAGCCCAGTGGCCCTGCTGCTTTGTCTCCAACTTACATAAAAGTTTAAATCCCTCGCCCCCTGCTCCAGTGGCTGCCAGCACGGCCATCAGAGGCGAAATTCTCAAAGATAATTAACATATCAGATGCAGGTACCCAGCCTCCTCCTGGGGTTATCGGGTTAGATGCTATGAGCCACGCACGTGATTCAGGCCGTGGCACATATTTCTGTTGGTGGCTGTGTTTATGCTTGAAGGGTTCCAGCTAAAAGTCCTCCCCTGAGGGGCCCCCCCCCCGCCCCCACCCGCCCCGGGAGAGGCGAGGTGAGATTGGATCAAGTCTTGTTGAACAGGGTTAACCTGCGGGGGAAACAGCGTTAAGGGAAGTAATTATCCATTCACAGGGAGCTGGCTACAAAGAAAGTGAGAAAATGGCCTTCTCAGAACTCCCATGAAAAACATAATGGAGTTAATATTCAATAAAGGCGTTGGGCAACCGCCCCGCGTGCTTTTCCTTACAGTGTGTTCTGATGTGTCCTTGATCGGGGCCTGTTTTGTTTATGATTAATGAATGACTCACCTTGGGCCCTGTTCCGCTCAATGCATACCTCATTATGAATCTCAAGAGGTCATTTGTGTTTTCGGATTTAAAAATTCAAACACACACACACACACACACACACACACACACACACACACGGCACCTCTTGGTGCGTTCTGCAGGGGCAGCGTTGGATATCGGTGACAAAATGTGCGCAGGGAGAGCTGGAGGGGAGCGGGCCTGGGGGCTGTTTGGGGTGCGTGGCTTTGCTTTGGAAACGAGGGAACTTTGGGAATCGGGAGAGAACCCCCAAGCCTGGGTTCGGATGCTCAGGAGGCCCTGAGGCCACGGGGCCTGAGCCCAGGGGGTCTGTGGCATCGGCCTTGCCCTGTGGGCGCCATGAATCAGGGGGGCTTGGGGTGCGTAGGACGGGCAGGCGTGGGCAAGGGCTCCCCGTGCGTCCCTAGGAGGGGCCGGTGGAGGGGGGTTAAAAGGCACATAAACAAATCAAAAGTAAACACAGTCTGAGGCCCACGCCTCCGATCGGATCAGCTCTCTTCCTTCTTTCCACGCTGTCCACCTGGCTCGCTCTTCGCTTCTTTTCCTCTTTCAAGGGGCTCTCTCGGTCCCCTTTTCACTTACTCATATCTAAACGCCAGAATGAGCAGGAGTCTGCCGTGGGAGCTGCCAGAACCCAGATCTGATGCAGAAGGTCAAAACTGGGGGGCGGGGGGAGTAGAGGGTGGGATTAAACTGTATGCCTGTGTTTCTGCCAGGTTCCTGACAAAACCCTCCGATCAGGAAACATGCGTGTACGTCTGTATCAGTGGGCACACAGTCCCGCACAGCAGAGGAAGACAGCGGGCAGACACGTGGAGGCCGATGGCTGTGCGGGTACACATTGTATGTTTCAACACAGACGGGGACCCTCTGAGAGGGGACTTGTGTACCGGGAACCCGTCCCCCGCCTTGGAGCACATTCCTAATCCCATGGCTTCCAGCCGGCACCCACACACCTGTGACTTACGGCCCCGCGTGTTTCCAGAGGGTACGTGTGTTCACCTGGGCGTGCGAACGAGGGCGCGTCACCCAGAAATAAACGCACGGCCATGAGCAGGACTTAGCGGTTGACTAGGGATGCCGGCTCCCGGGCGGACACAGTTCGCTGGTCGCCTAACCGACGTTACTGTCGGCCAGGTGATTGCTTTCTGTGAGAGAGGAGCCGCGTCCTTTGATCCCAGCCACCGAGACGGGGATGAAACCACAGAGGGGCTCGGGGACCCGCGCGTGACTCCGGGCGGGCGAGGGCCCTACGTGGCCGGTGACCCTGGGCAGGCCGCGTCCCCACACCAGGCTGCATCGCCCCCAAGTGAAGGCTTTGGACTAAATAGCCTGTTGTTTCTTGCCATCCATCGTCTATATTTTTTATTCTAGAAATCTTGTCCTTCCTGTCCGTGGTCTGTGGGTCGGTGCCGAGAAAGAAGTACGCAGGTGGCCCAGCAGGTGTGGCTCAGTGGTTGAGCGTCAACCCAGGAACAAAGAGGTCTCCGGCAGGTCGGCTTGTGGGCTCCATCCTCAGCAGGGGGCGTGCAGAAGGCCGCCCGTCGATAAGGTTCCTCTCTCGTCGATGTTTCTGTCTCTCTGTTCCTCTCCCTTCCCCTCTCTCTCTCTCAAAACCAATAAAAACACTTTTTTAAAAAAAAACATATACGTGGAGCTAACGTGAGGGAGGAACTTGAAAACTTGGACATGGGGTGGCTGGGACTGCATGACCGGCGAGGGACATGCCATGCACAACCTCCCTAAACAAGTGGGCCTACAACTTGCCCACGTCCAAAGCAAGGTGGCGTCCAGGAATCAACGAGAAGGCTTCCTCACATCACCATAAAACATTTTTTTAAAAGACTCAAGATCTGAACAGTAGCACTGATACCTTTTTTGAACGTACTGCAAAACTAGAGACTGTGAATGGGGCAAAAAAATAAAATTTTCAGACGATCACCCCGCTGTCTTACAAAAGAAAAAGTTCCCGCTAATTTGAGAGAATGGAGAAGGCACCCATAGGTGGCTTGGGGATCAGTTTTATCACAGGTCACACTGGCAGCCATCACCTCTGTGTGTTAGCCTGGGCGCTAAGTACACCAGCGTGGAAACCCTCTGATTGGCTGTGCCTTTGCTCTTTGCCAGCGGTTCTCAACCTGTGGGTCGCTCCCCCTTTGGCGGTCCAATGACCCTTTCACAGGGGTCGCCTAAGACCAGCCTGCATATCAGATATTTATATGACGATTCATCACAGTAGCAACATGACAGTGATGAAGTAGCAACGAAAATAATTTTATGGTTGGGTCACAGCATGAGGAACTGTATTTAAAGGGCCAGAAGGTTGAGAACCACTGCTCTTTGCGGTCACCAGGTAGCAGCTGGCGCCTCCAGAAGCCCCACCCAGTGACTTTTTCTTCCATCTCATTGGCCAGAACTTCCTCCTGCCCCAGGGACCCCCCAAGGACCCCCAAAGACATCACTAGACGGTCCCTGGGAAGATGGAGGTTGGCCAGGGAGGGAGGGGAGCAGCTGCCCACCTGTCTCGGCCACACCTGCCCAGCCTCCCCTGGCTAAGGAGCGTCGGCTCTCACGTGACGCTTGGCCACACTTCTCACGTCTGTGAACACCGGGGAGCTGCCTCATGTGCTTCTGTCCCGGGAGCCCCGAGCCTGCGGGCTGGGCACATGGCTGCTCACGGGGTGACCTTGTCTTTTATGCGAGGGTTAGGGTGGATGAGAAGATCACCTGCTCTAGCACCCCGCTGGCTGCCTCCTACACACCTCCCCGTAAAGGCAGCTGAGGGCGATGATGGTCATGGCGATTCCTCCTACGACAGAGAGGACAGAGCTCAGCCCACTCACACGACAGCAAGAACGTAGGGCGACAGGAGCCAAGGATGCCTGCACGGGAGTCGGGTGACCTCCGCAGAGGACTGCCTGCTCTCTCCAACCTGCAGTCACTGTGTTGGGCTTTTGCTAGTACCACCCCACCCCACCCCCTGCTTCTGAACAACCCAGCTACTCTCGTCTCCGCCCATGGAATTCGGGGTGAATAGTCCCATCTCTTCAGAAACGTCTAGAAGGCCACACAGATAACGCCCAGGAGGTCAAAAATGGTCTTGGAGGGCTTGACAACTGAACGGAACTCAAAAAGGAAGGGTTAGGGAAGAGGAAAGGGAATAGTAGGACGAGGGAGAGTGGCTGCAAAGACCCCAAGGCAGTGGGAAGTATGGCCCATAGAAGGAACTGGAGGTGTCTGCATGGCGGGGGGGGGGGGGGGGGGGGCCGAGAGAAAAGGAGAGGGTCACAGGGTCACAGGAGCAGACCGACCGGGAGGCAGGCCGAGAAGGGCACGCTGAACCCTGGGCCACAGTTAGAATTCAGGTCTTCACCTTCCTGCAAAGACATGAAGGGTTTTGAAGAAGGGGTTGGGCGTGACTTCATTCACGTTACAAAGGTAACACTGGACAATGTGGAGAACGGATGGGGGAAGCAAGGGTGGGTTTGGGGAGAAGTTAAAGGCGCCCAGCATCGCATAACGAATATGTTTATGAACTGAGCTCGGTCCCTCGCTCACACCGCACAGCCAGCAAGTGTCAGAGCGAGCAGGGAGCCAGGCTCTGAACCGGCGTGCCATGCGGGACATTTCCTACTGGATTACTCTTCGGCTATCAGCAACGTGCTAGTAGGCACTTCCAAACTTTTCCATTGGGTTTCCTCCACCCCCGCTTTTTTGATTTTTTAAATAATAGTTGCACAATTATTTTTTAAGATGATTCAAGCAAAAATCCACTTGCTATTTGGGTGGCAAAGTTCAAAAACTCCGTATTGTGTCATCAGCTTTAAAAAATGTATGACTAAGAACACTTAGCAAATTCCAGAGACCTTTGACCCCTCGCTTGTTGAATATTGTAGTGTATGTGGGGTGTTGTTTTATTTTTTCTTTCTGATTTGTCCAGGACTATTTGTACTTTGGATTATTAATCTATAACCAAACACAGCTCTGGCTGGGCTAGCCCCCGACCCCCGTGATGATGCCAGGAACATGACTGCATCTATTATCTTTTCTTTGAATTCTGTCAAATCTTTATTCTGGCTTCTTTTCCCCTTGTTATTTCCCGGAAAAAAAACTCCCGATAAATTCAGAACTGCCTGTCATTCGTCAGCAGGAACCATATCTGACTCAAGAGCAGAGTTCAAAAACATTTTTTTCCCCACAATCAGATGCAAAAGAAAAGCCAAACCTTCTCTCCCCGCACCCCACCCTCAACTACCTCCACCCCTGGCCCAAAATTGTTGGCCTGCCTTATATTCATGGACGGAAATGTATCATGCTTGTCCGGCTACCCTTTTAGTAGATTCAAGTTGTAAAGGAACAGACGTTTGTGGAGACTGTAATACGGAAAAGGGGGCTACACCTGCGGGAATCTGGAAGCTTCTGTCCTAGGCGGTGTCGGCAATAGGTCAGCACGGGCCCCCACACCCCACCACCGCTCGGGAGCCCGGTGCACCTGCCCGCCCCGCCCTCTCCTCCTCTGTCCCAGGCAGACAACAATAGCACGGACCTCATAGCAAGGGTTCGTTCTGGAATGAGCCGGTCAGTCTTTGCTGAGGACCTACTGCGTGCCAGGCACTTTCCTAGACCCCGGAGGCCCCCGCCCACACCGTCACGGAGCTGCCGTTCCCGTAGAAGACACAGGCCAGAAGCAATTCCGGTCACTTCGGAACAGAGTCCTGCAGGGAAGGGAAGGGTGGCCTGGGAGGGGTTAGGTAGGTCTTCGGGTCGGCTTGCTGTCTGAGCCGGGGACAGGTGAGCTCGGGGGGACATTGATGAGAAAAAGAGCCGGCCAGGGAAAGGTCCAGGAGAGAGAGAGAGAGAGAGAGAGAGAAGCCACACAGAAGAAACGGTCACTCCCCCTGTGAAATGAAAGGGGCCGCACCCTGAAACGGGTGGAGGTGAGAGGGAGACAGTGGGGAGCAGAAGGTGAGGTGGAAAGGGCGGCAGGGCCAGGCCCGTGGGCCCTCGGAACCGTGGAAGGAACTTGCACTTCAGCCCGCGGGCAAGGAGAAGTCATTGGTGAGACCTGGGCGGGGGGTAAGGTGGCCTGAGTGATGGCCGGAGGCTGCCTGGCAATTCTCGTGGTCGGGGGACAATTTCCACCCGTAGCTCACGCGGCTCGGGTACCCGAGGTAAGTGGGTCATGATCCACACGGCTTCGGGCTTTGAATTATCACCGTGTGGTGGGGGGGCGGGCGAGGGGGGTGAGCCGGTGCAGACCCCCCAGAGACCTGCGCCCACAATGGAGCACTGGGCGCCGCAGCGGCCACCTGGGCCAGCTCAGCGGCCGCCAGGGAGCGCTCCCCACGCAGGCACTCAGCAGGATGAGGGCTTATGTCTCCCATGGCCCAGCCCTGATAGGGCCCCTGGCGGTGCCAGGGACACAGCCCTCGCCCCCTGGCCCTGCAGCCCTCCCCCTCACACGTGCAGCTTCCTTCCCAGTGACGCACCGGCTGCCCTCCTAGCTGCTGCCACTGCACCCACATTTCAGCCAGAGAATGGGGGACCGAGACGGGGGAGAGGACACTGTTTCCTTTCGGGGTCGCCACCTGGAAGTCCATACGTCCTTCCCACTCCTTTCCATTGGACCAGAACCTACTCTCAGGGCCACACCTAGCTCCTAGGGAAGCCGGGAAAGGTACGTTCCAAGTTTAAGCTGACTTTGCCCGGCCGACGTGGCTCAGTGGTTGAGCATCGACCTAGGAACCAGGTCAGGGTTCGATTCCCGGTCAGCGCACATGCCCGGGTTGCAGGCTCCATCCCCAGTGTGGGGCGTGCAGGAGGCAGTCATTATATTATTCTCTTGCATCATTGATGTTTCTCTCTCTCTCCCACTCCCTTCCTCTCTGAAATCAATAAAAAGATATATTAAACGTTTCTTGTTATAAAAGGGTATGGGCGGGGTAGCTCTGGTTTCTGCTTCAGCTCGCATTGCCTTCAGCCCTCGGAGAACCAGCTCCGTGAAAGGCGGTTCTGTCCCCAGAGGTCGCGTGAATAAGAGAAATAATCATCATAATAGTTAATACAAAGTAACGAGGTAGTTGAGACATCACCCTATCTTGATAACTCTGCCCTGAACAATCCTCTCTCTGTGCCGCGTGCAAACAGCAGGGTTTTATTTTTTTTTTTTAATTAAAAAAATAAACGGAACAAACGCATCATTGTCCGCCGTCTCCCGGGCCTGCCCTCTCAGCCGTTTCCCTGGCCGCGGAGAGAGGTGAGCGCTGCCGTCTGCCGTGTTCCTCTCTCCCTGGCCCTTAGCGCTGAGCAGCCAGTCAGCTGGTGGGCGGCCGGGGCCCTTTTGCACATTCAGCAAAATGGTTACAAATCATCATGACTCAGCTGTAACTCTAAAACCACCCAGCGATGCTATCAAATCATGACGCCCAAACTGACAAAAATGGAGCCCACGGCCCCCTTTTGGGGGTGCGGTATTGGTGGGTGTACAAAGATCGTTTCCCTAATCCACGCGGGAAAGCTGTGCGCACTCCCCTGGGCGCTGCGTGCAGTGACGGTGGGAAGATTCTCCCCGGAATATAGATTCGAGGAAAATC